CAGACTTTAGCACTGGACCCTCCACCGTTCTACACTATGGCCTTGCAGCCACCAGTTGTGCCCAGTGATGAATAGTATTGGCAAGAGATCACGGGAAGACTTGAAGAAGTAAAATGACCTTGAAAAGATGGAGAGGAAAACACCACCTTTGCAAAGGAAGGAAGAATAAAAGGAAGGAAAATTAAGAAAAAACAAAGCTCTTGGGGAGATGGAAAGGTGGACCTGGCAGAAGACTTTTTTTTTCCAAAAGAATTACAATGCATGACATATGGATTTGAGAATAATCAGAATCCCGGGCTGGGGATTTAGCTCAGTGGCACAGTGCCTGCCTGGCAAGCAATAGGTTGTGAGTTTGATTCCCAGTACCAGAAAAAAAAAAAAAAAAAAAAAGAGAATAATCAGAGTCCCTATCCTGAGCCAGTGGATAGTCTTGAAGACTTTATAGTGGAGTTCATCAATGAAATGGTGACCTTCTAATGCCAACCTGATGACAAAGTTGAATACAACTTGAAGATAGCATCTCTTGATTTGAAAGGACTGAGAGGTTTGCTAGGGTTAAGGACTTGGTTACTACAAATAAGGTGGTGAAGTAAACTGGAAAAGCATTTGATGAAGCTAACTATGGATTTTGACATCTTTTGTGCTTTCTGAAGCTTCATTATCTTAAGGCACTATATACAGTAACTGAAAATTTCCACATAAGGTCTTGCTATCTAACCATCTAGTGAAAGACAGAGAAACACAAAGCTTTCATACCTTCAATTTTGAAGTGATACTTGAGACCTTTAAGTGCCTACCCTTATAGTATCATACTTGAGCTACTTAGTCTTATGATCACACATAAGTTTAAATACCTTGCAAACCATGCAGGTCCTTCTGACTTTTAACTACTTAAATGAAACAGTATTTGTGTCAGGTGTCTATGTGCCACTGTAGGCTATAGTACAGTGACTTAACATGTGAACTCCAAAAGACTTCAGGGAAATTTGAACACTGGACACTTGGTGAATTATTTTGAGGTCTGATAATAGTAATGTAGTTTCCTTTTTAAGAGCGGCATCTTTTAGGAATACTAAAATACTTTAAAATGTAAGTCAGGCATGGTGATGTATGCCTGAATACCAGTACTTGAGAGGCTGAGGCAGAAGGATCACTGTGAATTAGAGGCCAGCCTGGGATACGCAGTGATTTCAAGGCCAGCCTGAACTACATAGCAAAACCATGTCTTAAAAAACAAAACAAAAAAATAAGATGAAATAATTAGATGATAAAATGCCTGGGATTTACTTCAAAATAATCAGCAAGGAAAAGGACAGGGATTATGGGTGGAATAAGATCAGCTATAAAATGAGAAGTATGGTATATGGAGATTTATTACACTCTACTCTCACTAGTAAATTAAAACTTTCCATAAGAAAAATAAGTAAGGGATATAAATTTACTCTGGCACCAGCTCTGACTCACTCCTACAGGCCCGTACCCATGTTGTTCCCTCAGTACTTCAGGACTTGGATGAAATGCCATGCCACATACAATCGCCTTAATGAGAGGGAGCTAATACTCCCCAGCGCAAACTTCAAAGAGGGAAGGACTGGCAGGAGGCAGGGCAGGGGAACTTCCCCCCTGTCCCTCCATTAACCAGGCCCGGTGTTTCTGTGCAGTCTGTCCAGAGACATCTCACACAAACAGTGGCCACCTCTGTCCCTGTGAAGCAAAGTGGGCAACTCACTATTGATTTTTTTCTCCTTTCCCTCAGTCTCACGGCTCTAGGACTGGACCTTACAATTAAAGCACTGGCATTTAAGTTTTGCTCCAAGTCTGGTCTTCCAAGTAATCTGAATTAAGATGGTAAACTCCTCCAAACTGTTCCTTCAATCACCACTCATATGCTCCCAACTTGTTCTCCAAACTTATCTCCAAGACGGGCTTCTCTGCTAAGCTCAAGACCCAGCTGGATCCAACCACCAAATGAACGTCTCCGCTCCGACATTTTCACAGGCACCTCAAACTCATGTCCAGAATGAAACTCACCATTTTTCTCAATTATGTGTGTTGGGGGATGTGGAGATAGAAGGCATGCTAAAGGAATCTGTGTAAAGGGAGGACATGGAGGAGCCAACAGCCAATTACAGTGCAGACAGACACTTACTAGTGTAAAGCAGCACAGGAGGACACACTGAAGAGGAGGAAGCCTACTGTGTGCCAGGCACAGTGCCTGACGCTTGTACGCATTAGCTCATTTGGCCTTCGTAACAAATCAGTACCATTCCCATTCTGTGAACAAGAAAACATACCCTACTAGAAACCTTAGCAAGGTCACAAAGCAATTGAATCCAAGAACTCTTAGAATAAAAGTATACTAAAGGTTTACTATCTTAAAAAGTCTTCAGAGGCCAGGTGTGGTGCCGCCACACCTGTATCTTAGCCTTCAGGAGGCTGAGGTAGGAGGATTGCAGTGGGTTTCAGGTCAGCCTGCACTGCACAGTGAAGTCAATGCCAGCCTGAAAAACATGACTTTCTCCCCGTCTCAAAAAAACAAAAACAACAACAATCTATCTTCAAAAAGAAGCATTTAATAAGCCACACAGATTAGAGACTTCCCCAGATGCTAACACTACAGCTATCTCAAAAAATGAACACAGAGATGGGGATGTAGCTTAGTGGAAAAGCACTCACCTAGCATGTTCAAGGCCCTAGGTTCAATCCCTGCAAAAAAAATAAACAACAAAAAAAACCCACCACGATTTCTACTGAAAAATGAGGTGTGGAGACTGGGACAGAGGCAGGGAGGAGGGAAGATGGCATTCTTCTCTCATGTCGTAAGAGCCCTGAGAGAGCACGGAGTGGCAGGGAAAACGCTAGGTTTCACTAAAGCTGGGGCACCAGGCACACTGAGAAGTAGCCCCAAGAGGCTGGAGAGGTGGGCGGGATCCAAATCACGAATGGCCTTATGTGCCCTTCTAATGAATATAAAACTTTAAATTCTATACACTTGGAGGAACCATTTCAGGATTTTAAGCTCTAACTCCAGTTGGAAGGACTACTTCAGGATTTGAAGCAGGGAATGACACAGATCAGTATGCATGCTGGAAAAGCCCCTCTGGCCCCCATGTGAAGAACTGGCTGAAGAAAGGCAACAGAGGCTGAGAAACCAGCTTAGAGACTGCCAACGCACCCAGAGCAAGAAGTTATGCACAGCCAGGCACGGTGGCGCACGCCTGTAATCCCAGCACTCGGGAGGCTAAGGCAGAATTGCTGAGGGGTTTGAGGCCAGCCTGGGCTACACAGTAAGTCCAGGCCAGCCTCAACTGCATAGCGAGACCCTGTCTCAAAAATAAATAAATAGCAAGCTATGTAAAAAGTTAGAAGCAGGTTTTAAAAAGTGCACAAATTTAGGATTGTAATGAAGGAAAAATTCAAGAGCTGGATAAATTAATTAAAGTGAGTGAAGAAGAATCAAAGACACAGGCTGTGACTTATTGTAACCAGGACACAAGAGATGATCAGTTTTGGACACGTTGACTCTGAGATACTGTGGGCACTCATACGGAGGCAGCCAGCAAGTAACTGAATGAGTCTGGGATTCAAAAATCAAGGGGCTGTTGGGGATACAGCTCAGCAGCACAAGCTCCTGCCTGGCAAGCGCAAGGTCCTGAGTTCGATTCCCGGTACCCCCCGCCCAAAAACAAACAAACAAAAAAACATCATGGGGCGAGAACTACCACCAAGGAAAGAGATGGAACAAAAAAGCCCTATTCCCTTCTCAAAGTGCCTTTAGAGGTATCCAGTCTTGGTCCTCACAGTGTCTTGACCACCAATCAGAAGGCAGGTCAGCAGCCTGAGTAAGAAGGACAGGAACACAATCCAATCACAGGGGAAGGTCAGTGTAGCGTCACTCCTTAGCACCAGAGAAACCAAATTTGGAGAGGTAAAGACTATCTAGCATCCACACACAGCAGCCCTTGTTAACCAGTTCTGTGGAAACTAAGCCCTAAATATCCTAAGGTATCCTTCGTATGTAACAAGTTAAATCTTATATATCTAGAATGGTAGTAGCCATGTAGCAGCCTTGAGTATTCAGGAAAATCATTTTCTCAGAACCCGTTAAGAAAGGCTGTAGGTACCAAGTAGGCAATCAAATACTACCCAACTCACTACCTTGCCTGAGGGTGTTCTAAACTGAGAATATACCCCTGGACTCCCACCTTGGAGCTCTTCTTCCTGCTTCCCTCTCCCGTCATGAGAAGCTGCTCAAGTGGAGGACCCAACCCAGACACACAGCTCCAAGGCACCAAGCAATTCTTTCTTCATCGGGATCACAGCCCTTTGGAAGGGTGGGCTGGATATTTTCCCCCAAACGGGCAATGAAAAAGCCTACCAAGGAGCCAGCCAACTAAATTAAACTGGAACTAAGCTCTAAAACGCTGGGGTACTGCTCACAGGCCCAATGGATCCCAACCTTTGAGGTATTTCAGCAAGTCTAGATCATGATGCAGAAATCTAAAAATTTTTTAGAGTAGCTCCCCAACTGGAAATAATTTATTGTGGGATTTGGGAGCAGTTTTCACAACTTCCATCCTTTCTCAGCAGTTTATTGCTTCGGTTTCCCCTTGTTGAGTAAACGTTCCTCTAATAGCCCCCAGGTCTAATGAGGAGACTCTCGTCGGTACACCACAAAGTTGGCCGGAGTGGGGACCACATCAGTATTCCCACGCTGGAACCTGGACTGAAGAACAGTGGAGACAAGCAGTTCTGGCAGAGCTACCCCCCTCCGCTCTCTGAACTCCCTCAGTGAACCTACATGCCTACCCCTAGGTCTAGTCCTTCTCCCCCTGCTCAGGGTAACTTACTGCACATGCACTCGAGGGGCACGGCACCGTGCTAGTCACCGCGGAGAGGGGCCCTCAAATGCAACACAGACGAAGCCTCCTCAGCATCCCTTCTCCACTCTCGCTCTGAGCCACACGGTCCAAGCCCGCCCTCAACATCACACAGAAAGCACTGAAGCATAAGTTGCTTTAATCAAGGGGTGAAGTCCTCAATCAGGGGGACCTCACTTGACCTTTGGTGGTGGGGGTCTCAGCCTACCCCCCACATGCCCTGAGGCCCCTCAGGAAAGAGGGAGCAGCTGACAGCAAATTGTGGACAACACCTGGGGATAGGCATGGGGGAACGCAGGTTAAGGGGCCGGAGTGGGACTCTGACAAGACGGGAGCAAAGCTGAACAGGGCAGGGAGATTTTAGCCCACATGGTTCTACCGAGGGCTGGCTGAGGTGGCTGTGCATTGGGCCAAATGGCACCACGAAGGCTGAGGGGTGAAGGGGACAGTGGCAGAAGGAGTGCTTAGGAGATGAGGCGACTGTGAAGCTGGTACAGCTGCTCCTGGGTCAGCACCAGCCGGTGTCGCTGTCCAAGGCCAGCTGCACACGCGAAGGTCACTTTGCCCATGTAGACTGTGTCATCTTGCTGCTCTTCCTTGGCCTTGGGGTTGGAGAGGGAAGAAGATCCCAGGTCAGGGGCTCACTTAAACTGTGGGCCACTGAAGAGGTCCCTGATTCCAAGGCAGCCCCTGGGAAACCGTGGCCTTTGAGCTGTTAGGCCATCGTGGCCACATTTTTCAAATTAGAACAGGGGTAAACAGCCTCACAAAGGACTTCTGAGTCATGGCATCAAAAGTCATGGAAGGTATTGTTTTACATGTTACGATATCAGAATAGCAAGCAGTTGTGTGTTACTTGCAAGAAAGACTTGGACTTGCTAGATAAAGCAGAGTAGGCACAGCAGTTGGACCTGAGACTCCTGAGGTCTCTTCAAACTCCAGAGGAGGAAGAAGACCCATCTGGACCCTCCACACTATGCCATCCCATGCCCAAGCTCCCCTTACCCTGAGGAAGGCTGATGAAGGGAAAGTGGCGAAGTCAGTGGGGACTGTGGCTCCAGGGCGTTGTGACACTGTCTCTTTGAGGACCTCATCCTGGGGAAGGAAAGACAAGAATTCATTTAGGGGACCCTCGCACAGATTAGCAAAAGACCTCCCCGGTTTCACAGTTATTAATACCAGGAGGGCAGGATGAAGTCTTCCCCACTGCTATGCTTTTGCTCTCACCTCCAACCACATTCCCACTGCAACGCCCCCCTTTAGAGATCCTCATTCTTTCTGACTCAGTTCAGCTTGAATTGCACCCCCTAAACGTGAGACCAACTCATGCATTTTGTTAAGAACATACCCTCTGTTTGCACCGAGACAGTTATTTCCCAAGGCAAAAATCCTGCCTCCCTTCTACCCTCTCCCCAATGTGCCATCCACCATGGGGCTGGCCCCTGAGGAACTCCAAAGGTGTTTGGCTCTATCAATGAATGCTCTGAAGTGACCTCAGTAGGGTGGGGAAGGGCAGGGTCTGAGCTGACCTTGAGCTTCTCAACGGTGTCACTCAGGGACTTCAGCTGAGCCACTTGCTCCATAAGCTGGGCCGACGGGCTCTTGGCAGCTGTTGGAAGGGAAAGCTGGTAAGGCCCACCAAGGCCCAGGCTGACAGCTGCAATGGACTAAGTCAGGAATGCAGGTAATAAACTCTCATGGAGCAGGCACTTGAGAGACAGTGAGAGAATCAGGCAAACTAAACACCGAAGGTAAAGGACACTGCTGGGAAAAGCCTCTATGTGTAGGACCGTCTGAGAAGGAGCTAAATCCTGGGGTGAGGAGAAGGGGTGTATTATTGATCTCAGGGATCAGCAGGTACATACCAGGACTGGCACGAGTGATATCTACTACATGAGTGTGCGTGCTCAGCTGATTTAACGTCTCCAGCAGCTGACTGGTCTTACGATATAGCACTCCAGCTGCTAGCTCAGGAGCAGGGCCCTCATGGGGCGGGAGGGAAAGCTTTGCAACATGCAGAGGGGGCAGGGCTGCCAAAGATGCCTTCATCTGGGCTCCCTGTGGGAGAAAAAAGGAGGGGTGGACGTAAGCGATGACAGGAGGCCTTTGCCATGCATCATCAACGGGACAGGTGTGCTCCATCCTCCACCCCAGCTCTCCCTGGGAGCCCCTCACCTTGAGAATGCTGTTCTCATGCTGGAGCTGAGAGATGTGCAGCCTCATGGCAGAGATCTGCTGAAGCAGCAGGGGTGAGTCCTTCACCAGCCCCGGGCCTGGCAAGGACCCTGGAGCCTGCCCAGGAGCGCCGCCTGTGGATACCGTAACAAATGTCCTTAGCCCCAGAAGGAAAACTGGGCTTCACTGCTGCTCTTTCCTTTTCTTCCTTCCCTCCCACCTCCAATGTTAGCTGCTCCCAAACAAGGGGAAATGTCACCCTGCTTCCCCAGCCCCAGTGCCCACCACCCCCCTGGCAAGCCCCCGCTGAGTTGGCCTCTACCTCGCTGCTGCTCCTCTGTGCTCAGGATAGCCCATGGGGGAGCAGGAAAAGAGGAGAGAGGAATTAGATAGTTTAGAGATGGGGGCACACCAGAGGAATCCTGGACTCAACCTGTAGGAAAACCCTTGGCCTAATCAGCCTACTCTCTTTACAACACCGTGCCTCTGTCCCTGCCCTTGGGGTAAGAGTCAATGTGTGTGGAAAAAGGACAAGAGGGAAAGAGGCCTGCACCAGGGTGGCAGAAGGATGGCAAAGTGAGTGTGCTGGACGAAGCACCTGAGATGTGAGGCTGTTCCCCTCGCCCTGTCTCTTACTCCACCTCCAGGAAGGGAATGAGGAGTGCTGCAGAGAGCCCCGTGCGTCTGTGCCCTTAGTGCTCACCAGCAGCAAAGCTTGGGTTGAGGGTACAAGCACAGTTCTTGTTCCTCAGGTTTCCCCCATTGCTCTGAGTCAAAGTTTCATGATTTAGGGATGTTTCATGACTTCAGAACTAGTATTTGTTTAAAGAGACTATGCTTAAAACAGTACAGGGTGACAATTTTGAAGAACATGCAGCTCTCTGTGCCACAGGAGTCTAATGTCACAAAGGTGCTTGGTTACTTCCCAAAAGCAAGTGACACCAGTGACAGCGACTTTGATGAGAACAAGCAGACAAGACACAGGAGCACTAAGAGGTGTTATACACGTGTATCAACTCCTCACAATGAACGTGATCTGATATACTGCAGACATGTACTAAAAACAAAACAAAACAAAGAAACAGACATAGGAGCAGTGAGGAACGTCCAAAGGCCCTGATGCTTTAACTCCAGGGCAACAAGATATCTTCTGGACATGAAAAGAGTAAGAAATTAAAGGAGAAACAAAAAACAAACTATAGGGTAGATGAGAACCAAGATGCAGCAGCCACTTCCTTACCCAGGAAACTGGGGAGACATGGCCTGAAGCCGTAAAACTCTGAGTAAGAACCCTAACCATATTGAGTGACTCGGGAAAGGTCAGAGTAGAAGCTAGAAGTAAAGCTGGGAGAATTATGCAATGGAAAAGACAATCACCCCGTAAGATGAAGCCATGGGGAAAGCTGAGCCATGAGCTCAGTGGGGAAACGCAGTGCCTAACAGAGGGAGAAGCAAAAGCAGGTTTCAGGCAAGGCTGGAAAACTTGAGTGCAGCAGACTGACAACCCTTAGGAATGTAAAGCTGGGACAGAAAGGCCAGAGGGTAGCTGCCAAAGGGCCAGCTACTAGAGTCCAACTGTCATCATCATTCTGAATTTGCCTGACAAACTTGGTCATGCCCTACTTTAGTCAGAGCAAACTCTGCACATCCTCAGGGGAGGTGAAAACTTGGTGAAAGCGAGCACAGAGTGAAACTGACTGAACATTCTTGGTTGAACATCCACAGGGAAGAGGCAGAAGTCACACCATGGCCAAGTCCTCCAAAGCAATCGTCAGTCTCCTCTGGGTCAGCACTGCCTAAACCACTGTACTTACCGCCAGCAATGCCCGACACCAGTGTAGCAATGCCTGAGGGAGGGGGCCCCCGGAGCCCCTCAATCGTACGCTTGGACTGGTTGTTCAGCCGCTGCTTTAGCTCTGCCTTCTCTGCCTCTAGCTGGTCGATGTCAGCCTGGAGTGCATCCATTGTCTCCTCAAACTCTCTGTGAAACAGAATGCAGGTTTGGGCAGTGTCCCTTCAACAAGGCCCACCTGACTTTTCAGTCCTGATAGATCCTTGGGGTAGCCTTGCTAGTGAGGAGACAGAGACAGGGCAGCACAGGCTTAGGATGGGGTGAAACAGTAAGGCTGGAATGGAGCAGGAAAATGGGGAATCTCACTCTGAGGAGAGGGGAAAAGGGGTAGTGACAGAGAGCCTCCAGCAGGAGAGAAGGCTGGAGGAGGTAGGGCCTCAGGGAAGGTGCCTGACTTCTCCTTCTTCCGCAGCAGTGTCTGGGTCTCCTCCAGCCGAGTCTGGACTTTCTCAATGCGCTCGTCCGCATCTTTGGCAGCACTGTCCAGCTTCTTCTCCAGGAGGCTGAGCCGCACATTCGCCTCACTCAGCTCCTCTCCCTGGACAAGACAGGGAGCTTCTAGTTCCCTGACATCCTCAAGACCTAGGTTAGATCACACAAGCTAGAAAGCTCCCTGACAGGAATGGCACTGTGACTCAGTGGGACAGCGCTTGCCTAGCATGTGCAAGGCCCTGGTTTTAACCCCTAGCACAGACAGACAGAGAGACAGAAAGAAAGAATGAAAGAGAGAGAGACAGAAGGAGAGAGAAAAGAAAAGAAAAAAACAAAACATAAAGAAAGAAAAGAAAGCTTCCTGAGAACTCCTTGGCCCCCTATTTCCCCCAAACTGTCCCCGTCCCAATTCCTATACTTGCTACTGCCCTGGGTCCTACCATACTTCCTGGATCCCAAATCCTAAGTCTACCCTTTCTGTTCTTTTCTTTTTTTATTAGTATGTCTGCAGTACATAATGATCACATTCACCATGGGGAGTCAGTACATGTACGCAAGACATCTTAATTCTTTTTCCTTTCCCTTCTCCCCTCCCTCCACTCTCCCTCCATCTCTTGGTCCCCTTCCTTTTTATAAAAGACCTGTCTCCCTGTTTCCTATTCTACATCCTTTATTTTGCTATTTAATTTATTTATACTTTGGGTTTCTCACAGAAGAGAAACCATGAGATACTTAAGCTTGTGCGTCTGGTTTCTCTCACTTGACGTTATACCCCATCCTCACCTTAATCTTGAGTGACTTCTTCAACTCTTTGATAACTGTCTCTCGATCTTCAAGCTTCAAACCCAAGCCTTCAGCATCTGTGATCTCTGCACGAAGGGCTGCAGCCCGCAGCTCAACTGGGGGAGGCTAAGGAATAGGATGGGCCAGAGCAGAGGGATGGGAAGCAGACATCATCAAAGCGTTCCTTTCAGAGAAATCCAGTTAAGGAAAATATTCTTGCTGTCTAGGCAAGATATTCCTTTCCAGATGCCCTCTTCCTGCCTCCCTGGCCTCCCACAATTAGCAGCAACTCTGCAAGCCTTGCTCCTCCAGGCCACTGGAGCCCCTCCAAGGAGAGCTCCCCCTACCTTGCTGGGGGGCCGTTCGGCATCATACTCCCCTTCCTGCATGGCGGTGGCCAGCTTGTTCATGGTGCTGATGAGGATGTTGCAAGACTGGCGCAGACACTCATAGGGACTGCTGGAAGGGCTCCCATAGATCTACAAAGACGCAAAGGCAGGAGTGAGAGCCCTGTGCTCGTCAGCAATTTCTCGTCCTCTTCTACCCAGTCATCCAGGCCAACCTGTTCGTTTGCTTTGAAAGCCAGCTCCTCCAGTGCAGCCACAGGTAGCCCCTCATTCTCTGCCAGGGGGGCAATGAGCTGAGCAGCCGCGGCTGCCACTTCCTGCAGCACAGCCACCACCCATGTCAAGTGTTTCCTGCAGTCCAGGAGTGTGTCCGACACCTGTGTGACAGACTACAGTCAAGAGCCCATCCCGACCGCAGCATTACAGTTCCCAGCTACCCAAAAAGCCAGTGTTGTCCTCTGACCAGATCCACAGCTTAACATGCTAGGCCACTTCCCGTTCTATTCAGCTTCACTCCCCTCCCTAATCAAAGCTCTAAACCTGGGATCCAAAGGCCAGTGCAGCTGGGATTCCAGGAGCATCTGTCCCTGGCATTCGCCTTCGGATCTTCTTGCAGAACTGGCGGATGTCACTGCATGATGTTTCCAGGTCCCGAAGCAAAAGGGCAAGATCTGTAGCCTCCTGGCCACCCTAGGCAGGAAACAGGAAATGGATGGGGAACTAAGTCAGCACTAGAGGTGGGGGTGGCACCAAGAAGGAAGAGGCGCTCTCACAGCTCTAGATGTGCTCTCACCTGCAAGAAGGCACGCAGGCGCCCCACCTCCACACTCATGCAGTCCAGGGCGCTCTGGGTGAACTGTGAGGATAGAAGCGTGTGGTCATCAGCCCCCAACAGGAACCTTCTGCCCATCATCACCTCTAAGAAGGTGATGGGACCAGAGAGGGGCTCTGTGAGAGTAAGGTCTTCCACCCTGTGCTGATCCCCATGTATAAGTGGGTCCTTTAGCTTCCCTGATTTGGCTTTGGTAGCCCTACCCCAGTCTCATGTGACATGCCTTGGGGGCCTGATCTCTCAATGTAATATCCTCTGATTCTGATTTGTACAGGGGACTAAATCATGGATCCAGACACTTCACCTTAATGTGGTCAGCCAGCTGCATGGTAGAGTCCTCAGGCTGTTCAGCAAGGTGGATGCTATACAAATGCTGGAGAGAGATGACAAAAAAACAGCTTTAGCCTGCGGGAAAGGCAGGAGTTCTTCCCAAACTACAGCATGAGCCATGGTCATTTGAAGTCTCCAGACGTACAGGAGAATCCAAGACCACCAGGCAGCTGTGTTATAAGGCAAGTTTATCTAAGAGTCAATCAGGCCTCAAGGAGCCAGCCTGACACATACAACTTTGACTACACGGGCAATAGCTCCAGTCAGGCAAAAGCTTCCCTCCCTCCTGCCCCAAGTCTGAATTCTTATTTTTTATTTTTATTTAGTGGTACCAGGAATTGAACTCATGACCTCGCACTTACAAGGCAGGCGCTGTGCCACTGAGTTATACCCGCAGCCCCCAAGTCTGAATTCTTGTCCCAGACCTGATAGTATTTGATGGCCTTGGTGAGAGGCTCCACATTGACAGTCTCATCCAGCTGATCCTTGTGCAGCAGCTCAATGAGGAAATCTAAGGAGCGCTCATGGGCACTCATCTCGGGGTAGAGGCTGCCCACCTTCTTATACACATCCACACTGCACTGAGAAAGGGCACTGGAGACCAGAGAGGGGCTCTGTGAGGGTAACGTCTTCCAAGCAACTTCAGTTCCAGCCCATCCTGGACCCATGACCCTGGAGCACAGGTCAGAGGTCACTTACTGCTCATAGCGGTGCAATGTGGCCTGCAGCAGGCTCAGTGAGTATACCAGTCCAGCAGCAAAGCTGAGCTGCTCCCCCGCAGCTCCTCGAAGTCCAGGCCGCTCTGAACAGTTCTCACTTAGTTCAAACTTCTCTTGGGCCTGCTTCCGAATCAGCTCTGCCTGCAGCAAAACCAGGGACAGAGAACTCAGAGCAGAGGCTAGAGAACAGACTCAGGAATAGTGGACACAACTTAACAACTATGTGGGAAGCACAGATACAGACAAATGAGAGAGAGAAAGCAGCTCTTAGATGGGTGGGGAGTGTCCTCTGGGGAAAAGGTAATGATGTGATTACTAGAGCTTATGAGGATTTAGGATATGAGAACGAAAGAGGAGTGGGACCGTGAGAACCAAGTCTTCCCTGACTTAAAGCTGCGGCCCACTCTCTCTCCACCTAGAATGCTATGCTGCCAATTATTCCCCTAGCTAACTCCTAGCCATCTTCTGGCTCTCAGCTAAAATGTTACTTCTTCAGTCATACCCAGTTTTCATCTAAATCAGATCCCCAGTGATGCTCCCTCAAAGAATCTATCTCTTTTACAACACACAATTTGGGCTATGGCTGTGGCTCTGTGGTAGAGCTCTTGCCCTGCATGCACAAGGCCCTGGGTTCAATCCCCAGCACCAAAATCAAAAACAAAAACAAAAACAACATAACCCACACACATAATCTGTAATACAGTTATCTCTTTAATCTGTAGGGGATTAGTTCCACAACCCCCCACAGACACAATAATCCACGGATGCTTAAGTCTCATATAAAATGCCACTTTTACACATTATCTTATGTATACTTTAAATCATCTCGTGGCTACTTATAATATTTAATACAATATAAACATTAGGAAAACTGTTATACTATATTGTTCAGGGAATAATGACAAGAAATAGGTCTGTACATGTTCAGCAGATATCACTTTCCCCAATATTTCTGATCTACAGTTGGTTAAATCCAGTTACAGAGATTCCAGGTCATCTGTAACTTTGTTCACTGTAAGTTCCTCTGCTACCTCGTAAACTCTTTCTGGGCAGATGCTGACTACTGTCTTCATTCAGCATCCTCAACGTCTGGTTCACAGCAAGTTCAACAGATTTTTATTGTACATATGAACGACTGGCCATACCTTGCAAATGAGTCGAGGCATAAGCAGCAACACCAGGACACAGTCGTGGTCCCCACCTGGCCGGAGGAAGCTGTCAGGCATGAAGGCTGTCAGCAGGGTCATGTGCCGGTTGGCCTGGGCCACCTCCATCTGTCTCAACTCCATCTCAATTGCCTGTGAAGTGGATGGGGAAGAAGGCTCTCAGCCAGAGTACAGCCCCAAAACCACCCTACCCTGCTATACTAGGATCCATGCTTTTAGGTCAAGCCCAGGCCAGCAGGCCTCCAAACTACAATACAAAGCACATCTTCCCTGGGGAATCTGAAGCCCATAATCCCATAGCAGGTCAGCCCACAGCTACACCCAGGCTGGGCTCCGTAACACTCTGGCCTCACATCACCACCCATTCTCCTAACCTTAGCATGGGCCTTAGTCTCAGCAAACTTGATTTTGAAGTCAAAAGTCTCTGGAGGTGGCTGCTGCTGTCTTTCCACAGATGCTTCCTGCTGGTTCGTCAGTTCCCGATTCACATCCTGGGAGCAGAGACAATGAGACACAGCTAGGTGGTGAGGGAGTCCTAGGGTGATCACGGCCAGAGAACAGGGTGTGAGAGGTACCTGTAAGTGGGCGGTTAGCTGGCGGTACTTCTTGATGGTTTGCTGGTAGTCCGCAACTGTCTCCTGGGCTGCCTCCACACGTTTCTGGGCCTCACGCACTCGGGCACCCGCCATATCCAGCTGCTCCCGCAGCTCCAGCTCTGTCTCACGTGCATTCTCCTGTAGCTCGTCATTCATCTCGTTCATTGCTTCCTGGAACACAGGTAGTTGTGGAACAGCAAAGGCAAGGTCAGGGTAACGAGGCCAGGATGAGTCCCTTACCTTTACCCTACTCAAAGGTCTGGTCACGTGTCAGTCCCTCAGCAGGTCCCTTCCAAACACTCTTCATCAGGGGTCTACCCCTCTCTTACCAAGTCCCCTACAGTCTCCCTCAACTCTCGCACTTTCTCTTCCAGATTCAGATTCCGGTCAGTCAGCATCTCCACCATTTCCTCAGCACCCAGAGCAGCATCCACCTGGTTAGGGGGAAAGGACAAGGAAAAGTGCTGCTGAGAGGTGGCAAGAGGGGAATCAAGCACCGGGGCTCTAGGCACGGGCTGGGCTCCCCAGACCTGCTCCTTGAGCTCATCAATGGTGCTCTCCGCCTGGGTCAGCTCCTCCTGCAGGCGCTCTCGCTGCTGCCTCACAACTTCCAGCTCTTGGTTCTTCTTTTCCATAAGCTTCTGGAGCTTCACGTGTTCCTGCTTCTCTGAGGAAGAGAGATCCCGCATCCTGTGAGGATGGAGAAAGAGAAAAGGGTGAGGGCGTGTGTCAGAGTCAGCAGACAATGGGTGCCCTCACACAGTCAGCGGCCAGGGAGTGAGCTCCAGAGCCAAGCAGAGGAGAGCAGCCTACCTCACCAGGGCATCCTTTAGGCGGGCGTTCTGCTCTTCAAGCTGCTTGAGCTGGTAACTGGATGCAGCTCCATCTGAGCCTGGGGAAGACCACCGCCATGTTCAGGCTTGCCTCACCACGCCACCTCCTCTCCCACCCCACACACAGGTCTTGGCCCCTTACCCTTCTCTTCGATCTCAGCCTTGAGGATCTCCAAGTCTGTGGTAAGCTCATCCACTCGCTCCTTCAGTGCCTCCACCTCCTGCTGCAGAGACTCGGCCCGCTCCTCGGCCATCTCTTTGTCCAGAGTGGCCATCTCGATGGCATCAGCAGTATCCGCCATCTCCTCCATGTAGCGCTCCTTGGCCTCCATTGCCTCCTTGGCTTCCTGAGGGGTGAGGCGGGTGCAAAGAGCATAGGAATGTCTGCACTGCCCTTGCTCACCTGGCCTTCTGGACTCCAGCACCAACCGAGCTTCCAGTTAATCCTCGGGATCCTCATCCCAGCCAGCCACCCGCTTCATCCTGAGTCCCACCTTCCGCGCCTCCTTGAGGCGCCGCTGCAGATCCGCCTGCTGCTCCTGCATTTTGCTCTTCCATTCCTGCACCTGCTCCAGCTGGATCTTGTGTTTCTCCAGCTCTTTCAGTTTTGCCTTGTCTTCTGCCCGTTTTAGCCGCAGTGTCTCCAGTTTCTCCTCCAGGTCTCGTACCTGGGCCCTCAGTCCCTCCTCCTCCTGCCAAGAAGAGGCCCCGTGAGCTGAACACAACTCACCCTCGCTCCCCATCATGACTGGGCTAGAGCACAGAAGACAAAACTATGGGCAAACATCATCCCAGCCCCAGCATCAAGACAAATGGCACACAAAAATCTGAGAGGAAATTGTGGCATAGTATACATAGGGGAAATACAGGAAAGAAGGGCAGGAAATTGTAGTGTGGTCAATAGCAAAATATCCGTATGTTATGTCCCCAACTCTCCAACCGCAGGAAGCTTCCAGGACTCAGCCAGGGGGCACAGGCACCTGGGCATTTGTAGTCTCTTTTACCCCAACCCCAGTCCTTACCTTGGAGGGGGAAGGAAGTGGGGGTGCTGCTCCAGGAGAGGTGAGGGCTGGCGTGGGGATGATGGGTGCTGCCAGTGGAGTCTGAGCCGGGGTGCTAGGCTCACTGCTGCTCAGCTCCCCTGCTGATGCTGAGCCAGAGGGGCCTAAGGAGCTACTGGCCCCAGCCACCCCAGTACTGGCTGGGCGAGCGGGCTATTCAGAAAGGACAGGGGCAGCCCAGAAAGAGAACAGAGGACCAGGGCAGTGAGAGGGAGGGAGACAGAGCATGAGAACATGGCAAGGGGAGGACACAGGAGGGGAAAGTCGGTATGAAAGCACAATGGGAAGAGAGACAGAGTGAAAGGGAAAATGCGGAGTCAGAAAGCAACAGTGACAAAGGACAGGGAGGAGGGGAGGAAAAAAGGGTGGGAGAAGACATAAGATTGTAAGGTTCCTCCTTTGGCACAGGCCCCGCACTCCTCCCGGCTGTGGCACTACCCTTTAGAAGAGAATCTTTTCCCCCCGAAACTCCCCGTGACCTACTTGTGACCAATCTAGCGATTTCTGAACACTCCCAGCCCCATCCTGACTCTGGGCCTGCACTCACTCCCCCAGAGGAGAAAGAAGTGTCTCGGTATCATTCCCAGAGAGAAAGAACAGATTAGAGATTTTTCTCAATTTTCATGTTCCCACAGAGGACCAGGCCAAATGTGAGGGGCAATCAATCAATCAATCAATCAATAGTAAGGTGTGCTCTACCACTGCCAGGCCCTCCCTACTCTCTGGAAGCCAAGCTGAAGTGCCCTCCCTTGCTATGGCAGAGGATCCTGCAGGAAAAAGGGCCAAAATGCATGTTGTAGCCTTAAGGCACCCCCCTTGAAATACCCTTCTGTACCTAGTCCCCTAAGACAAAAGGGTTCCAACCAGGCAGCCTGCCCAGGGCACTGTGGGGCTTGGTGGCGGAGGGTGTTGAGGAGCTACCCCAAAGCCTCAAGCCTGCCCAGTGCCCTTCCTAGCAGTGCTGAACCCCAAAGTTCTCCTAGTGGGCTAACACTCAGGCAGAGCATGCTATCCCAGCACTGCCATCCAGGGGCTCTCTCAGACACACTCACCTCCTCACTAACATTCTATACTGCCAAGTTCTTTTCCTCTTTTAATCCTTCCCCTCAAAACTAGTCAAAATTACATTATTCAAGACAGCCTACCTTGAATTAACTACAATCCCTCTCACTTCTCTCCTGTATTCAACCTATGGCTCAGAGGAGCTGCTGGGAGCTAGAAGTCATTTTCCCAGGAGGGGCCTGTCACCAAAGCTAGGGCCCTCCTGCCCCTCAAAGAGAACCTATGCTGCACTGTGGCCAACTTTTATTTGACAGTACACATGCCCACATACACGCACACGCCTGAAGTGTGCACACTCAGCAGTGGCTTTGCACAGAGGCCTGTTTGTTCTCACCTTGGGCCGCCGAGTTGTGGTCTGGAGAGGTAACAGGAGCCAGAAGAGAAGTAGTCAGGAAAGAAAGGGTAATGGCAGGAAGACAGACAGCAAAGGGACAGCAATGAGAGCAGAAGTAACAGGAAGGGGGCTATAGTTAGCCACCACTCCCCACACCATCCCAGCCCCTTCTCCCTCCAGTGAGCAACCACAGCCTTACTCCAGAAACCCAGAATTCCTATTCCCCTTGGTTCCTGTTCCCACTTCTGAGGCCTCACCCCTTCAGACAACCTGGAAACCCCAGAAGTCCCGTCTCCTAGTCTGAGCCACAAGAGACCAAAGGCGGCAGCTGTGAGATCTCCAGAGACCCATCCTTCAGTGAACAACCTCTCCCACTCCAGCCCGGAACCAGAGGCCCCGCCCATCTACCACTCCCAAGGACTCTCCCTGCTCAGCCTCTTCCTTCAAGTGCCAGCCTCCACACACTCCCAGAGAGACCCCTCCCCCATGACAGGGGTGCTAAAAGCCCAGAAGTGAGAGGTCAGATCCCTGAGGCAGAACAGCACAGCAGTCCTTTCACCTCCTGGGACTAGATCTTGGAGCAGTCCCCATCCCGAAGGCAGAGGGCTCAGGTGTCAGGACTATGAATATTGCATTAGCAGAAGCCCAGAGCTCAGCAAAGTAACCCCACCCAGTTCGACAAGGGAGGTGGGGGTGGGGAGCAGCACAGAGAAACTACTGTTGTAAACCCAATCCAGAAACACTTCAGATTACTGCAAAGTGATAGACGGGTGATTAACTCTACTTCCCATGGAGTATTCTTGCTGCCCAGTGTCTCACTGCCCTGGCAAAGAAAGATTCGGCTTGAGCCCAGTTTCTAGGAGACACTGAGCCCAAGGAGACCTATCCTCGCCCCTCTGACCCGGGACTAAGCTTCCACAGTTGTGAGTTAAAAACCATTCTAGAGTCCCTATCCTACCTTTGGAAGCCCCCTGACACAAACCCCAGGGTGGTGGATGCTGGGAGAACAACCAAGAGTCATTCTAGAAAGGCTGGGTGAGGCAGGCAGGCCTGTTAGAGGAACTGAGACAGCTGGCCTGTTTCCTCAGGCTCTACTACAGAAAACCCTCTCAAGCCTGTTTGCAGTAGGAGATTCCTGAAGCCCAAGCCTGTGAGGCCACTGGAGACAAGGCCTGGAACACAGACTCGATCAGAGCCAAAAGGCAGGGCACACAGCAAATCCCAGGGGTGAGGCACAGTGGTGATACACACCTCTCCCTGCCCCCTCCCTCCATCCTCACACTCCTCCCCCAGCCAGGTAGACAGAAGAAGTCAATCAGCCCCCACCCCCACCCCAGCAGCCTATTGCCACCATCAACCTGGCAACCCAGCAGCAGGATCAGAGCAAGCAGGAGTACCTTTCGAGCTGTCGGTGCCTGTCTCATCATTGCAGAAAAGCAAGGAGAGGAAAGAGAAAGAGGGACAGAGAGGATAGACAAACACCGGGAGGAAGGACGGACGAAGGGAGGGAGGGAAAGAGACCGAACAGAGGGAAAGGCGGCGAGACAGGAGATTAGTGCATCAAATCCCAACAATGCAGCCTTAGCTCCCGGCCAGCAGCTTCCCAGCCCGCAAACGGCTGCGGCTCCGACACAGAGGGCCCCGAAGGTGCCCAGCAGCACAACCAGGCTCCAGCAGGCACCAGAGCGGTACCCGGCCGAGTTCAGCAGCTTAGGCTGATGGCAGCCTCAGTGGCCGCAGCACCAGCTCCACCTGACGTCATGCACCCACCCTCCTCTGCTTCATGGGGGTGGAGCCACTGTTCCTCGGTCACCTAGCAACCACCCAGGGCCCTGCTGGCTCCTCCTCCTCATCATGACTGGACAAAGTCCTGCGCAGAGCCCGCCCTGCTGCTTCCTCCAAAGAACAGGTTCAGGCTCTGCCTCCCTCCCTCACCATCCCCAAGAGCTTGCTTCAAAAACTGGGCCAGGGGCCATGCCAGAAATGGCACCTTATGGGGCGATGGCATCAGTGGGCAGGGACATGGGGCTTCCCTAACCCATCTTTCTCTCCTAATTACACTCTGCTCTGCCTACAACCCCACTGCTCCCACTTCTCTTACACACAGTGGCTACACCTTGATGTCTCATCAGGAACATAAACCCAGAGATCCCCTCCAGCATCTAGCTTATGCTCCAAGGCGCAACAGAGTAATTAAAAAACCCTGAGAAACAGTCTATCAGAACAGCATCAACTCTGATGATAGTGCTGGGTTCCTCTTCCAATGGTCCCCTAGCTGTAGACAGATTAAAACTCTCCCTAAAGGGTTTTCCAGAAAGGATGAGGTACTCTGCAGAGATATCTGTGTTCTCTTCTGCCCTCCCCTCGTGCACTCTTTTTTGTTCTGGATCTAGTTCTGTGTTCCACAGAACATGAGAGCAGAGGCCCTGGCTAAGTGATTTGTTTTGAGAGAACCACTGCAGTGGAAGACTGGAGAACAGGAGTACACTACTACCTGACTGACACTGTCCACCTCAAGCCAGCACGGGCCGTCCAGGCTGGGCACTGCCACATTTCCACAGGTTTGGCATGGCTCAGGCCCCTACTAGGGACACGTCAGGCTTCAACCAGAACTCCTCCACAGAGCTGACTGCAGTTTCATGTTCTTCTCTATTCAGATGCCTGAGGTAAGACAGGAGCCTCAAGCAGGAGATAATAATCAAGGGATGATCCAAGTTTTCATGATGCTAGAATGGGTCCAACATCTTTTGGAGCACTGTTGCTCTTACAGCCCCATTCCCACCGGGAGCCAGGATGAAGGACCCAAAGCAAAGTACTAGCACATGGTCTCTATCACAGCAAGACTCTCACGTGAGGCCCTGTTACCCACTAGGAGTCAAAAAGGAGAAATCTTCCTCTCACTTCCCACTGCCCTAATCCAGTAGCTCTCCATGCCACATCATAAAGGCCGGACACAGTATGGCAACAAGAAAATCACAGTACATACAGCACATACACGGAGCTCAGAAAGCACATGCAGGTCAGGGACAGCTTGGGCACAGGCCCAGGGCAGGGGCTGGCATGAGAAAGCACTCACGGAAGCACTTCTGAGTGTTTAACACTGCAGAGGAGAGAGGCGCCACAGCCAAATCCCTACAGATGTGGGTGAGAGGTGGGCCTCAGGTTCCCATCACAGGAAGAAGATGCCAGGGAAAGACCCCGACAGGGCAGAGTAGGGGTGGGTACTGATGGCAGCACGACCCAGAGGCAGGCAGACGCTCGGGCATTCCAACCGTTCCTTCTGTGCAGTTCCCTGACCTCCCCTTCCTCTGCACCAGCACTTTACCTAGTATTTTCTCAAGCCTCATTTCTCCAGTCTACCCTCCACTGTCGCCTAAACGCAGGGAGAAGCCACCATAAGCCAGTAAACACGCTGTTTCATGTTGCTGCTATTTACAGTCTAATGTCGGAGGTTCTAACTAGGAGTCTGGGGCAGGAACAAATCATCTCTAGTGAGTGCTACTGGAGCTAGACCCTGAGCCTGATATCCTTGTACCCTTCAGAGGAGGTCTGGAAGCCAAGGCCACCATATCCTCTGGTCATCCCACCCCTGCCCCCAGGTTACACACACATGCATGCAGTAGCCCAAAGACATGCAGGACAGCAGGGGAGGGGGCTCACGGCCCCACCCATCCCGGCACAAACAGTAAACACACCACCTTCTTAGGCTTCAGTCCCCGCTGCATGAGGAGTAGGAAAGGGCACAGTTAGAAAACAGACATCACATTCTGCGAGTTCATCAGGCAATGTGGGTGTAGCTGTTAATACCAACACAGGCACACACAAGCAGGGGATAGGGGACAGAGCAGGTCAGTGCCAAGCCCTGAGTGAGATGAGTGGTTCCTCACGGATCAGCTTTGAGGAAGTCCACACCCTGGTCCAGAGAAGCTGAGCCCTACCTCACAACACTGCAGAGGAATGGTACAGGGGAGCTAGGAAGGACTCTCTGCATACAGCCTAAAATTGCTACCACCTGAAAATAGGAGAGCTCCTTTCCCCTTTATTTCTACCTTACCCTACCCGTCAAACTATTTAGGTCTTGGCGTCTTTAAGTAGCAAAAGGCAGGAAGCTGGCTACACTCTTAAGGTCAAACCGATCCTTCCTATTGCCCCCAGCTCAGCCCCATTTGACCCTGCACTTCTGGAACCTAACAGTCTTCCCCTGATACCACCTTTCGCCCTAATACAGCAACTCAGAAGGCATCCTTATTAGAAAGACTGGAGACACTAAATTACCTTAATTCAGACTTACCTACTGCTTCTACCTAGCACTGGGCCTCCCTCCCTCCCTCCCTCCCTCCCTCTCTGTTACTCCCTACTCCCCACCAACAAACCACTTACCAGTTTGCTAGTCTTTGCAGCTGTATCAGCGCCCTCTGCAGAAAGCAAACAGAAACGAAGTGTGCATGTGTATAAAGGGCTAGGGACAGATAACATCATGGTAGATATAACACAGGAGTACGGTGATGACACAAAAATTTCAGTATCCACTGTGGCTCTCTGTTATAAGAAATGCTAGGACTTCGGGACGTAAGAAGACAAGTGCGTGACTGTTACCTCTCTTGAGGACCTTTGAAGCAGAAGAATCAGGTGTCTCTGGAGAAGTAGTATCTGCTCCATCTTCAAATACCTGGATCTGAAGCCACAGAACAGACTCAATACATCCAAATTCAGAATGACTCCACTATCGGTCCCTCCCCAGTCCTCAGGCAAGCCAGAGTACAGGGCAGTTTTCACAAGGATGAACGCCAATCTCCCACTGCTGCTGCCTCCCACTCTCCCAACCAGAAGCTTATGCCCACAATCAGGAAAAGGAAGCACCAACACACCAGCTGTACATGCAGCAGATATGTGCATGTACTCATACATACACACACACACACACACACACACACACAGAAGTAAGGGCTGCATACCTGGGATTGACGCACAAAGATGCCATGCCCTTCATCACAAGTAAAATACTTCCTGCCTTGAACAGTTCCATCATTCTTGCCCTTTGCTTCATCCAGGATCACGCCTACCCATTTGCCAGTGGCAAAGAGTGTGGCTCCAACATAGGCCACAGTACCTCGGTGGCCTTTTCCAATCACCTCCACACGGGAGCCTACACGCAAAGGCCGGGCACTTGCCTCTGCACTCATCCTGCTGCTACTGGGAGTCTGAAAGAAACACACATGCACGCATACACGGTCAGAGGCTTCAGGTTAAAGGTGGCACCATGATGCATAAAAATTACCCAACCAGGACTGAAAATAGACCAGAAGTCACTTCCGTGGACTCAGTTCTTAGGATGGAGTTAGCCCTTAAACTCCCCTTCAAACAATGTCAGTGATAGGTCCTTTTAAGGCTCCTCCAAATTCTTCTGGAATCTCCTAGAATTTTTAAGAATTACATTTAAATTTTATAACAAATCAGAATTCATTGATAGACCTTTAAAATTTACCACATGGCTGTTTTCTCAGGAATACTGTCCCTAAGGAGAGGAATTAAACTCAAGCAAATAACTCAGTTTACACCAGGCTCCTCACAACCTAATGCCCTGACTCAAAGTCTGAGCTGGGAAGACAGGTGATTCAGTGGGCGTCCACACTGCTTTCTGTTTCCTTTTCAACTGTCATCTGTCTTCCGAGGTTCAAACAGCTCATTCAGGCCTTTCCCTTTCAGAGGCACAGAAGCACGACTCTTCCAGGCCTTCAAGTCACCACCACTCCTCATCCGGCTCCTGTCACTCCCCTCCACACAGCCTCGATGCCTCTCCTGACGCCGCATAGCAGCTCTTCCGCCACCCAACTCCCCTCCTCCTGGCCTGTATCCTGCTCTGTCCACTCTGCCCCTCAGCTCTGCAGAGTCTTCTCCCATGCTGTGTTGAAAACACAGGCCAAGTATATCAGGTACTTCAGCTTTGTCCCATTTGTACTTCATTTGCCCAGCAGTGCAAATGGATATCTTATCACTCCACAGATGGGCAAGGCAAAGGAATAAACTAAAACACTGTCCTTGGGAAGCTCTCAGCTTCTGACACATCCGTGATGACAGGATACAACATGAAATTAGGTCCCAGATCAGCCTATGGTTTAGAAGAAAATCACACCTAAGCCATTTTTAGCAATAGCAGCTCCACGGACCAGAGGCCTCGCAGCAAACTGCTAAGGGAGGCAAGAAGTAACACCGTGGTCTTAAAGACTCCATGGGGCTCCTTTCTTAGACCCTCACTTGGCTTCAGAAGGGAGCCCTGTCAGAGCCAG